GCACGGAAAAATTGACCATTTTATCCACTACAATTGCATTGCTCAAATGTGCTGTTATTGGTACCATTTACTACTGAAAAAATCAACGAGATGTTTATTTATATTTGAAGACATATTAAAGGCTTTAACGCTTGTTTTCAACTCGCACTACTATTCATGATTGAACAAAACTTTTGGCAGGTAGTGTATGAAAAAGTATGTTTAATGAACAAGAGTTGAGAGTATAATGAGCTTTTTTCTCCCTACCTACGGTTTTGTCAGCGCTCATCCAAGACATTGGAAGGGGCACATCGTTAGAGAAAGTAAATGAAGTATACGTTTGATATTTGATAGCTGCAGTTGTTTACACAATAATGGCATCGATATTGTTAATTTACTTAGGTATAGGTAAGCCCTACACATAGTGATTTGCAGTAGGTGGATGAAAAGTTTAGATAACTACCTCTAGTAATTAATATAATATTGCATTACTGGAAAAAGAATATGTGCACGACTAATCTCCCATATAACAGGAACATAACATTAGGTTGGACGTTTCCTTCACCCAATCAGCCACAATTAGCGTTACGTAGAAGGTGACAACCCTGCAGTAAAGACAATGCAACTAAAATAATATGTGTTCTTCGCCTACAGGAATCGTGGATCAATTATACCTAACGCAGGATGCTTGCGGATGTACGTGGCGGTATACGTCACAATTACTTACTGATTATCTTGTTTTTAGCTTTTAAACACTAATCGACTTAATCTAGTAATAATTGAAAATATATAGTAGCACGGTTAATTAAAACTGGTCATGAATTGTATTCTTCAAACTCAAGATATGTGTGTTTACTACAGGGACAAAGGTCGGTATTTTTGTAAAAGACAATAAAATATATGCGTTACGGTGAAAGTATGTCCATCGGCGGATGCGCACATTCGGACTTGTATATACATTAGTTACGTTATTGTATGGAGGCGGGCTGATATGTTGGAATAATGTCTTCGAACATGTGTTAATAATTATTAATTAATATATACTTAGGTTAGAGAAGGTTAGAAATGAAGAGGTATTAGAAAGAGTAGGAGAATAGAAGATTCTATGGAAGTCAATAAGAAATAGGCGAGATAGGTTAGTAGGACACCTTCTCAGGCATGAAGGTCTAGTCAGAGACATATTAGAGGCAGAAACGGAAGTTAGAAGGTGTAGAATTAGACCTATATTAGATTACTGTTCGCAAATAGTTAAGGATATGGGTTGTTCTAGTTTTAGGGAAATGCTCAGGATAGGAAAGAGTGGAGATGCGTGTCTAACCAGTCTTAGAACTGACGATCTTATGATGATGATGAATATATACTTAACAGATAGTATATGTTAGGCGCGAAGATCATAATGAAGCATACTTTTCGAAGACATTATTCCAACATCATTTTTGTCACTCGTATTTAGCCCGACTTACATCCTCTACTTGGTAAACGAGAATAAGTTTTCGGAGATGACAAAATAATTTCATCAGGAATGATATGAATCCTTTTTTCAAGGTAAAAACAGTTCATATATTTACTTATATTACCGATTTCTTTAAGTTAGACTTTGAGCTATGTAGGGTGAGTAATGTGTGTCCAACCTTGCCCTCCACCCTTACTACAACCATCAATAGATAGTAGGACTTTTATCATTTTGTTTTGTTTTTCTCTGAGGTTTACATATGTAACAATTAACTGATACTAATTAAAACAATAAGTCATAAAATAATCACCTGTCTTCATGAGTTACCATCGCTAGTGCAGCTTCAGGAAATTTGTAATGGATGGCGTAATCAATAGCGCTCATTTGAATTTTGTTGTACAACAGCTTACAATTCATCGAAAGCAGTAATGCAATGGCATTCGGTTTATTTTCCATTGTAGCTAAATGTAGTGCAGTATTCTACAATTGAAAAGTTTTGAAATTCCTTAAGAACTTACCAACCTATAACTATAAACTATAAAAATGCAGTTACAAAAATAATTACCCCATCTTTATCTAATTGGTCTAAAAGATGAGAATGTACGGATAGAAGTAATTCAATAGTTTGTGTATAACCGTTCATGGCGGCCAAATGTAAAGGTGTCCGTCCATTGTGATCCCTATGAAGTAGAGCTCCTCGATTCAGTAATAATTGGACAACTCTAGTGTGTCCTTGTTTAGAAGCAATATGGAGTGGTGTTAAACCTTCCCCGTCACTCTCGTTAATAATAAACGTTCCTTTCTCTGAATCCAGTAGTTGTCTTGCCGTATTGTAACGACCATAACTACAGCAAATTTTTATTTAGGAAGAGTTGAAATAATTCTAAACTGAAATATTTAGAGACAATTCCTAATTTGAAAACTCAAAGAATTAAATTTTGTTATGATACTTATAATTATGTAATTTTGGTTAGTGTACGCGTGCAGGATGCGGCTGATCGGCTAAGCTCTCATAACTTGCATCGGCCACGTGCAAACTTTTTCCTATTTACTTTTAAGTATATTTTTTTCCTCTTTACAGAGTTTTTATGTTATGATTGTCAATTTAATGCTATATTTCGTTTAGTTTCTGTAGCGATGTGACCTTCAGTTTGACCGGCGCAAAGTAGAAAAGAATAGCACTAGGTCAGAAAAGAAAGGAGACAACTCTCGGCCAAACTTTTAACCGGTGAGGAGCGTATAATCCGTACAGTACTGCATGGAAAAATTGACCATTTCATCCACTACAATTGCATTGCTCAAATGTTCTGTTATTGGTACCATTTACTACTGAAAATATCAACAAGATGTTTATTTATATTTGAAGACATATTAAAGGCTTTAACGCTTGTTTTCAACTCGCACTACTATTCATGATTGAACAAAACTTTTGGCAGGTAGTGTATGAAAAAGTATGTTTAATGAACAAGAGTCGAGAGTATAATNCAAAAATTCTGTAGACTATGGATCTTCCAAAAATGAAACACGAATCCTTATTTCCAAAGCCTCCTTGTTGTACCCTCTCAAAAATTAAATGGTGATTTTCTGTGGACCAATTTCTTGTGTTGTGGTGATTGAAAATACCCACACTTCAAAAATAAGATTTATCGGACCATTTGGCATCGCCGTGTGCATTAACGAATTATCCGTAAGGCAAACAAGAAAAATTAAGGAAATACCAACTCACAAAAAATCATACTTTTTATAGAGATGTAGCGCTTCCAAAACACGTCTCGTACCTTATTCTTTTGCAAAATATATGACCGCTAGAGGGTCGTCTATGAGGTGCTACCCTAGGGCGATCTCGACAATTAATCCGCCTCTGGCCGTGTGAAATTTATAGGTGACATTTTGTTTTTTACTTCAAACAAATTAGTCATACCCTATTAGAAAATTTCAGAAAATCGTAAATTCTGAGCTTGTTTTTGAAAATAATTGTATATAATCATATATTTTTGGAAAGCACACATTATGTCTAATAAATATAAAAAATAATATACAGGTTGTCCCATTAAAAAAAACATGTTTGCTTCATAACTATAAAAATCAATTCCATCTTGTATCTTAAAAGCCAAAAGGAATATAAGAATTTTCCTGGCGCCATCTTTAATTTTACAAAAAAGTCTTGCGCAAACCGTAATCCTCTACCGAAAATGGCATATCCCATACATACGGTAAATACATTACAATTATTTTGAAAATGCCACCTGTAATTTTTGAAAAACCACTTCGAAATGTTAATAAATTTATATGCTAAGTATACTTTTTAATAAAATACGACTTTAAGTTAATAATGATTAATAAAACATAAATTTGGTACATGTTCATTACTTATAACGTCATTTATCTAACCTCTATATTTTTTACTAATACGTAACTCTTCATTCCCACCACTGCTCTTACATCGAATACAACCTTTCTCTGCTACTATTTATATTTAATACTTTACACTCTACTTGAAGAAATTAACATTGCTTATTTAGTTCTGAAGTAACGATTGTATTCAGAGGACTCCTACTTTTCGCAGAATTTTTAGAAAGTTAGTGTAGACCTGAGTATACTTAGGTGTCACATGTGTAGGGTTAAAAAGAAAACATTTTTATTCATACAATAGTGCAACAAAGCGGCAGTTTTTAGAATAATTGCAACGTACAAGACTTTAAGGACGTACTGTAAATAAAGAATTACTAAATAGAAAAATACTGTTTGGGTTATTTCTTTAATAGGTTATTGTTTGCAAAGTGTAAGTACATTCAGTGTGGATACCTAGATACGCGGTCACGATATGAAAGGCATTCTTAACAAACAACGTCGACCCAATTTCGAACGAAACTTTTCTAAAAAGAACAAATGCTTCTCATCTTTCATGATAGATTATTCGTGTAAACTAAATGCCTTTGTAATTTACTGTTAAAGAAACTTGCGTATATTTGACTTAACTTTATGGAACAACTTTGTGTTTATTGGATCTTCTGTAAGAATAACACCAATTATAACCTGGTAAAAATAAACCGACTGGACAATTCCAATAATGCTTAATTTCAATCTATTTCTTAATATCTCAATTTGAATGATTTTACATTGTTTATATACTTCATTTAATATTTTATGTTTTTATATTACATATAGGGTTGCTACTCCTAATTGTATTTCTTTAGTCATATAAAAAATTATTTATGACATTGAAATATGGGTATTTATTTTATGGGTAACAGATTAAACTTAGAATAGTTTCACAATCTTTATACTAACCTTCTGTGTATGTATCGCCTTATTAGGGCATTAGATGTACATACTGTATTGATTTTACCAAAAGGCCACTTAAGACATTAGAAGCAGCTCTCTCTTAAGGATGTTTGGGAGGTACAATCTGAGATAAGAGTACAGTCATAAAATTAGAAATTCGCGATTAATTAGGTTTTGCAGCATATCATGAGGTAAATAAATACTATCTATACTAAAAAAAAAATATACGCTTTGAGAGAAAATTTGGAATTTGACCAAAAACTTTGAATCAAATAAGAAATAACAAGTAATATGGAAAATTTTTAACTGACTTTTGTCAGTGTATATGCATTGATTTCAACTTCGAAACAAAAAAATATTTAGTTTAAATCTTTATTAATAATGAGCGTAAAACTTTTTAATATGTTTAAATAATAATTAAAACTTTAAAATTGCATTTATTTCAGACAATTATAAATATTATCATTATATTATCAAGTAAAAACGAGATTTTCAGCTAATTTTTCATTTTTTCCTCGATAACCATTTAGTGAATTTGAATAACCTTACGCTAAAGTGATTCTCCAGAGTTCAAGTTACTTATTATAAAAGTTTGAAATTTCTGGTAGCTTTTTTTCTGTTAATAAAAATAAATTTAATCTGTTCGGTTAACGAATCTCCATAAAATGACGTGTAAAATTACAATTTTTTAAAATTTCAATAACTTTTTAATGGTTTAGTAAATCGATTTGAAATTTTTACAGGAGTTTTAGAATTGAATGAAGAACGTTCTTCCAGATTTTTATTTGTCTCGTAGCATTTTGACATACCTCCCAAACATCCTTAAGCCCCTACATATCGAGTCACATTACGTACGTATGGAATTGTTAGCAATTTGTAAATCTACATAGATTCCCTAATAAGGCGAAACGTGTACGGAGTGTTAATAAAAAAATTTTCCAATTGCTTATACAGATTGTTCCACCTAATACGGTTTCGTCTATAACTCTGTTATTATACATTTAATAAAAAAATTATTTATGAAAGTGGTCTGAAATCATTTGGTGCATATACGTAAAATATTTTAAATCATACAGGGTGTTCCATTTCTTTCCCGAGCTGTCTAAATTCATTATTTTAAACGGAACACCTTGTATATTTTTAGTTTTGGTTTTTTGTTTAATTTAGGTCGATTTTGTTAACAGTTCTTTATACCTATCTCTAGTAGTTTTTGAGATATTCAACTGTTTAAAAACACGATTTCAGCTGTTTGAATAAGACCAAATAGCATCTAAACCATAAAATCATACTTTTTTCAAACGGCACCGTTCGATGAGAAATTAAAAGCCCTTTCTGCAGATATAAGATTTTAAATATTTATATCTCACATTTTCCCAGAAAAAATTGATTATTTTATATTTAAAACCTTAAATCAGTCAAAAGGGCTTTTAATTTCGCAAAGTCACCCGCCTCGTAAGATTGCTAAAAGTAGATCTCCATATTTCCGGCTCCGAATAACGTACACATTTAGTCCACAGCAAAAAAGATGCAGTAATTTCTGCTAAAACTAACTGTCCAAACCGTAGGTTTTTGGTTTTAATGGTTTAGATACTATTTGGTCTTATTCAAACTGCTGAATGTATCAAAACGGTTAATAAAGTCGACCTAAAATTAAACAAAGAAATCAAAAATGTAAAAATATACAGAGTGTTCCACTTAAATAATGAACTTATGTAGCGCTCAAAAGACTGAAAATATTTTTCATATGATTTTAGACCGCTTTTATAAATCATTTTATACGAAGAAAATAAATCTAATTTTCAATAAGCTGGAAAGGTAAAAAATTTGAAAAAAGTGTTTACGTAAAAGTTGTGTAAACTAGGACCAATATAATTTAATATGTTCAATATATTTTATAAGATTGTCCGAGTAGCTCTTACCTATATGAAGCAGATAAAATAACTTTATTATAAAGATAGCTACCTTTTTCTGAATAACGAAATCTAAAATGCAAATGTACTTTCTATAAATTACGCATTTTGATCTAAACTTTTGCCATAACTTTTCTGGTTGAGTATTAATCTGATGTTTTATTAAATCAATCAATCAATCAATTACTTTCGAAAAGCAGTAGTGATTTTAGCATTATTAGTACAAAATATAAAAAACGGTACCTTGCTTACTTCAGCGGCGAATTGTTCTAGTCGTCCGCCGTTCATAACCACTAAGTGCAAAACGTTTCTCCTGTTTACATCTTTAATATTAATGTCTGCTCCAAGCCTTATAAGGGTATTGACCGTCTTCCAACCACCCCTAGATGCTGCTAATAAAAGCGGAGATCTCTTTTCTTTATCAACTGCATTAACATCGGCGCCTTCAGTAACTAAATATTCAACAATTTCTGGATGATCAAACATTGCTGCACAATGTAGTGGTGTCATTTTTTGGATATCGCAAGATGCCAAACAGGCCATCTTTTCTTCAGGTTGCATTTTAAACATTAATTTTACAATATCCTTAGCCCCTTGAGCACAAGCCAGATGGACCGGTGTTGACAGATCGTATTGTTGAGTAGAAATTTTTGCACCTGATTTTATGCAAAGTTCCACTGCTTTTATATCACCTCCATGAACTGCCGAATGAAGGGGTACATTACCTTCCGCATCATAAAATGATATCATTTCATCCCGAGTACAACCTCTTGATTCACCTACATTTAAGATGTAATAAATAATAATAAATCGCTATACTTAATTTAATATAGTTACTGATGAGCAAAATTAAGGCAAGTCCTCAATTTGATTAATACGGCCACAACTAATACAATCGATGAAAGTTTTGAGAAATGTTGACGTAACTTTTCTTTACCTGCAAACGTTTCACCATTGTTAGGATCAGCGGCTGACCATAATACTGAATCAATTGAAGATGCCATCTGATAGGGATGGCAAAATCTTTGCTTCTAAGAAAACAATACGGCAATAGTACACAAAAACTTAACCGTTTCACCTAAAAGTGGTCGAGATAGCTCATGAGCAACCTGTATCTTACAAGACCAAAGTGTTCTGAAGCCAATCTGGTGATTCTCTTATTATATAGACTGAGAAGCAATTTTAGTAACCAAGTAATTTCTAAATTGGACGGAAGCTTGTGTAGGTATCTAATGTTAAGTGAAATTTATAAAATAAATTCTGAAAACTTGAGTGCTATCNTTGATACCGATACTATATACGAGGGTGGATTGATAAACTATTACTAATAAACTTGGCTAAACAGATCTCAAGTGCAGTGGCGTATTAAACATCACGATTAATTAAACTCAATTACTCCTGTCTTAAAGCGTAAATTTCAAACTCTAGCACTATTATTACTTAATATATAAGCACACTATGTATTAAATGAGCGTTCTTAAACAAATTGAAGTCTGTTATGGTATTTGCTACTATGTACAACAGAGAAAGGTTAATTTTTTTATAACATGAAGGTCCCACTAATTGAGAAAGAGTCCAACATACAATACAAAAAGGAGGCAATTAGTAGTTACATCGAAAAATGTTTTAATGTATGAATCATTATTTAATATGTAATAAAATAATTAAAATATGTACCTCTATTAATAGCTCTTTAAGAAACAATATCCTATCAAATTATTTATCGGGGCAATTAATACACTACACATTTTAATCGGTACAAAGAGCAACATTAATAGCTTAGTCATTATAGACAAACCCAGCTGCATATTTTCCACCAGGATTTTCTTTCTTTATTTTGACATCAAAATAAGTCGATAGTGGAGTTACATTATGCTGTTTGTTGTGCTGATGAATCGAAATCGCGATTCACATCTGGTCTTAAGACAGTTTCAGTAGGATACATAGCAACCGTTTGCAATGGCTCTGGCGAACATTTTCGAATTCCACAACATTTAGCAATATTTTATAGATGGCGTTCACTACGCTGTTTGTAGTAACTCATTACCTCTATAATTTAACAAAAGATTGTGACATCGATTGCTCCATGGTATGCGGCTGTTGTCGTATACAAACGCTTATAACACTTCTGTTTTGTCTTTATTTAGATTCATATTTGTATACTATATAAGTTTTTTTTTGTCTTTATAATGTTTACAATAACGTTTTTATAATGTTACAATGTTTTTAGGTATCTAGGAAGTCAGGACGGAAAAAGTGGTACATATATAAATCAGACGATAGAGAAGGGTCGAATTGGCTTCATTAAAAAGAAGTCACTTCTACGCTCGCGAACGATTAATTTAGAAATTCGGAAAAGGTTATTAAAGGTGTATGTTTGGAGCGCGGCGCTGTACGGGTGCGAAACATGGGCAGTGGGCGAGGCGAAAAAGAAAAGGTTAGAAACGTTCGAAATGTTGTGTTACCGGCGAATGATGAGGATACTGTGGATAGAGGTTAGATATGAAGAGGTATTAGAATGAATAGGAGAACAGAGGACTGTCAATAAAAAATAGGCGAGAAAGGTTAGTAGCGCACCTTGTCAGGCATGAAGATCTAGTCAGAGATATGTTAGAGGCAGAAACAGAAGTTAAGAGGAGTAGAGGTAGACCCAGATTAGATTACTGTTCCTAANATTTAGAATAAGTTCATTTAGTGTACCAACATTAGTATTAAAAAGTTCTTGGTCAGTAATAATTTATAAAAGCTACGTTTTAGATTCAATCTGGAAGAAGATAGTTCCTTGTCAAACACATATAATACAATAGCAGTAGATGTCAATAGAAGGCAGTACACTGCTTATAGGAAGCAGCTTCGGTTCGTGACTGCGTTATAAATAAATTCGAAAAAGCCATTTACATCAGGTATACTTCATTCTCTTTCTCTAGCGATGTGCCCCTTCCAATGTCTTGGATGCGCGCTGGCAAAATCGTAGGTAGGGAGAAAAAAGCTCCTTATACTCTCGACTCTTGTTCATTAAACATACTTTTTCATATAGTACCTGCTAAAAGTTTTGTTCAATCATGAATGGTAGTGCGAGTCGAAAAAAAAAGCGTTAAAGCCTTTATATGTCTTCAAATATAAATAAACATGGTACCAATAACAGCACATTTGAGCAATGCAATTGTAGTGGATAAAATGGTCAAATTTTACGTGGAGTACTGTACGGTTTATACTCTACTCGCCGGTTAAGAGTTTGGCCGAGAGTTGTCTCCTTCCTTTAATCGCCTAGTGCTGTTCTTTTCTACTTTGCGCCGGTCAAACTGCAGGTCACATCACTACAGAAAGTAAACGAAGTATATGTTTAAGTGCGCACGGTAACCATCAGGTTTAAAAATATGCGATATTGTACGAATAGTAGTGAAGGTTCCGAAAGCTTTTTGCGTCATTTATTATAGACTTTACGACGGTACTTAGCAAGACCGAGAACAAAACCATCATGGAGTCGGGTTTAGCCTTATTTATGCTCATCAGTAAATGTAGTATCTATTTATTTACAACATACCCCATTGCAAAAATACTTCTAAGGTCTTTGAAGAAGCGTTCTTAGCAGCTTCATGGATAGGGTAGTAACCATTATTACACGGCTGCCTTGGACAAGCGTCGAACTCTGTAATCTAAATATTAAATGCATCACATGCCTATCAATCTCACTAAACAAAGGCAAATACAACACAACTATTGTTTGAAACTTTAAATAAAAATAAGAATTACATTTTAGTTTCCATAATTCATATTCAATCCCTATTTAGCATAGAAAATTTAGCAAAAGAAACCATTGGCCAAAAAAATGTTGGTGCTGAAGTTGCACAAGATAGCCATTCTTTTTGGCACTTTCTAATTTATCTATTCTGACAAAAAAATAATTTTGTTTATTGCAGACGTAAGCCAAAAGGATGAGCCTATAAATCTTTTCCCTTTTTTTGAATAATATTCCTAAAAGGAACCATGAAAAAAGCAACGCGAATTGTTCCCACAAGAAGATTGTTTAATCTTGATAAAAAGCTTACTAGAATCCTCGCACATTCCTCGTGGTCGTATATAGCTGCAATATGGAGGGCGGTACGACCATGTTCGCCTCCTTGCTGTATGTCTATTTTGCTTTTATGTTTACTCATTACTTCCAACACAGCAACCTTGTTTAGTTCAGTAACTAGGTGAATTGGAGCTTGTTTCTTATCATTTAGAATATCTGTTTTCACACCTCTAGAATTTAATAAAGAACGTATTGTTACAATATATGTACATAATTAACAATTTACCTAAGTTTTTTATTAAAAATATCTACAGGATGTAACAGAAATAAGTGCGGAGCTTGCAGGAGGCGATAGGGCACAATAAAACAAGAAAATTAAGTAAATGTTGGTATGTCCGAAAGTTCACTGTTTTCGAAAAAAAGGTAGTTCAAAGAAGTAAATTTAATTTTGTGATTGCCTTAAATGTTTTTTCCCTTATTACGCTGAGAAACTCACCATGCCATTGTTTATTGCATTTAGTATACACCCTCCAAAGCTCCGCACTTATTTCCATATTTGTTAAAAACATATCAAGTATGACGAACGAAATAAGTCCTATTAATCAACTTAGAAAGCTGTCTCGGTGTTTCGTTTTTAACTGCTAAGTTATATTTGAAATGCTTTTCGTCGTTTCATATCACTAAACGAAACAGTTTTATTCACGGTAAGCTCACTTTTTTTTACGTATAATTAAGTAGTTTTGATTTTATTGTAGAAAGGTAACGAAAACGTGTCTGTATTAAATATTAAAAACTTACTTTAGCAATAAGAAGTCGACTGCTTCTAAAGATTCGTTCTCCACAGCAACATGTAGTGGGGTGTTGCCGACATTATCTTGTACATTAAAATCTAAAACATATTGAATAAATGAAGTAACTTCATGTAGAAAAGAATATGCACACGATTTTTAGTTACAAAATATATTTAATTCATCATCAACATAATCGACCTTATGAGGTCGTCAGTCCTAAGACTGGTTGAACACATACCCTCACTCTTTCCTATCTTGAGCTAATCTTCGCATTTGCGTGAAACTATTACATCCCATATCCTTAACTATCTGCGAACAGTAATCTAATCTGGGTCTACTTCTACCCCTCCTAACTTCCGTCTCTGCCTCTAATATGTCCCTGACTAGACTATCATGCTTGAGAAGGTGTCCTACTAACCTATCTCGCCTATTTCTTATTGACTTCTATAGAGTTCTCTGTTCTCCTACTCTTTCTAATGCCTCTTCATTTCTAACCTTCGCGATCCACGGTATCCTCATCATTCGTCTGTAACACCATATTTCGAACGCCTCTAACATTTTCATTTCCGCCGTGCCCACTGTCCATGTTTCGCACCCGTATAGCGCCGTGCAACCTTTTCGAATTTCTAAATTAACCGAGCATAGTGACTTTTTTTATTGAAGGCGACTCGACCTTGCGCTATCCTCTGCTTTATATCCCTACTACTCCTTCCGTCCTGATTTATCTGACTTAATTAATTAATCTTTCACTTAAAGAAGACACTGTGATGTCGAAGTAATTATTAGGATACAATTAAACATGTTTTGTAACTTAATTAAAAAATTAAAAGGAATATTCACCCCTAATTACCACAAATGATTTTATATGAGACTGTCTCGCGTTGATAATGCCCACGTGTGAAGTGGGGGAAACACGTGTCCGCTCATATAAAATGTGGTAATTAGGGGTGAGTATTCCTTTTAATTTTTTAATTAATATTTACCACAGTCTCCTCCTTCTATTTTTTATATTTTGTAACTGTTTATAAAACCATTTATTGTTTATGATTTTTTTTGCAAACCTTTAAAAAGCGAATTATGAAAATGCACCTACATAGTACACAGTTGATGCCCACAAAGGTATTTAAATTTACGTATATACTAGTATCGTCAGGTATACAGTTATCCTATTCGGGTCTGCGGTAAAAGGAATTACGGAAGGGTATATTACTGCATTGTCTTGAATAAATATTAATCTAGGTAATATTAATTTTTGTTCCTTGGTATGATTAATTAAAAAAAACAACTAATCTGAACTGATTAAGGTAATAAAGCGGTTTATTAATTTACAATAAATCCTAATGTTTCGCTCCTATTGCTTGGAGCTTTTTCCTGATTAATTGTGAAGTTATTTCTTCAGAGTTGCAAACTATTTTCTTAGTCATAATTAGAATATGGATAAGGATATTTTTAAGTAAACTAAAAAACACTTTGAATTAAAACATCACATATTCAACAAAGGTAATTTAAAAATTCGTGTCACATGTCGAACGTGCCCCTCAAATAAAACACGGCCAACTTTATGCGAATATAGCTTAAAGCCCCGAAGAAGTCATCATTTCAAGACTGACGGAACTAACTCATTATTCATAGAAGGATCACCACAATGTTAAGATGGTTATAACGTCAAATCCTAATAGGAAACGTGAAATCCCAATACGAAGCTTGCCATATGGCGATCGTAGAGAATGATCGAGTCTTATAGTCACTCCGAGGGTCGGAATACACGACGACGTTGGTGGGTTAGTGCTTCTAAGAGCACAACTTAAGTAGGACCAATATCATTTTATCAACACCGGAAGAGCAAGGTCCATCAAACAACCACTTAGAAGAATCCCTTGGGTGAGGTAATAGGAAGGCAATAATCTTATAAAGGACATTTATAAACAAGGGGTGGTCGAACCATTACAAAGTTCTTCGGCTTTCCCTATAGTGCTGGTATACATGAAAGATGGTTCCACGAGATTCTGTGTGGACTGCAGGAATCTGAACGATGTAACGCAGAAGACAGTTAGATACCCTTTACTTCGAATTGACGATATATTAGACGGTCTAGCTGAAGCTATAAGTCTGATCCAAAACAGATGTAGAAAACTGTAAGAAACATAGTAACTGATACGCAAGAAAGTAAAATAAATCAGTTAATGGTAAACNCACTTTAAAAATCAAAACTGGAAACTAAAATTCCATGTGAGTATATTATAGGAATTAGTGATCTAACTTCATATGTATATTATTGACGTGACTTGCTTGTGACCTCAAATTCGGCTGTAAACCAGGAGATGACTTGGCTGGAGAAGATTATGTAACCAACCTCCGAAGGAAGCTTAACGATATCCACGAGTCGGTTCGCCTGCATGCGCAGATAGCTAGTGACAGGATTAAAGAAAACTACGACATCAAGGCTACAGCAGGTGGTTACCAAACTGGAGATCTTGTTTGGTTGTATAATCCTAAATAGTTTTCTTCTTAAAATTTAATTTGTTAAACCCACGAACATTACAATAGCATACAACGAAAATATTTAGGCTGACTGACGAGGGGGCTGCAGCTATCATAGCCCCCCCCCCGCCTGAATCCACCACTGCCATGAACATCTTAAAATAAAAGATAAAATACTAAAAGAAAAATTTTTTTAATTTATAATCGCATAGCAAAACTTATTTTTTTTTTATCTAAAATATGTTCATTAGTAAGCACTAAACACATTTCTTTCCCAGAGAGACTCCTTTTGGTACATTTGCGCTTGTAGGAAGCATCTGGAAGGTCTCTCTGAAGCTTCCAACAGTAGTTTGCCATCATTGAGACGCTCCATCTTCTCTGGTAACTTTTTTCCATCTCTTTAATATCTTGGTGAAATCGTTCACCTTGCTCTTCACTCACATCTCCTAAATTTTATGGAGAGTAGTCGAGGTGGGAATGAAGAAGATGTACTTTTAAACTCTTTAGGCAACCTAAGGCTTGAAATGCTCTTAACATTCTTTTGACGATTTGTTTATAGTTAAGGTTTTTGTTATTACCTAAAAATTTCTCTATGGCCTCTTTAAAGGCAATCCACCCTTCTCTTTGAGGATCTGTCATGATTGTGATGAACTGTGGACATCGATAAGCCGTCTAATTTCTGGCCCAACGAAAACACCTTCCTTCAACTTTGCCTCCGAGAGGCCTGGACACTTTGATATTAAATATTTGAAGCAATTGGAAGTGACTTTACAAATTGCTTCATCAATCCCAGTAAATTGGAAAATTTGTTTAGTTTTCTTCAACATCATCATACCTTCGACGACCATCTCCAAAACGTGACTGCAGTATTCAAGAAATTAGCAGCCGCAAAATTGTAGTTTTAGGTCCTCCTCATCTTGTTTAGAAGAGAAGTAAGATACCTATGTCATTTCGTAACATCGGAAGGGATTATGACCGACCATGACAAAACGAATGCCGTATGAAATCGGCTCACACCAAAGAATCTCACGAACTTGGAAGCTTTCAAGGACTATGCTCCTTTTACTGAAGATTCATACGAGGATTTGCCGATATAGCCCGACCACTACATAAATTTACAGAAGATCGAGTTTCGCATCAATGGACATCGGAATATCAAAAAGCATTTAACAACTGGAACATTGCACACTCTGTAGCCCTAATCTTGACATACGTACAGTATAGCGAACCTTTCATCGTTGATATCGACGCTATAATGTGGGACCTAGTGGTGTGTTATCCCAAGTATAAGATTGAATGGAAAAGGTCATCAAGTGCTTTAGTAAAACACTCTCGAAACAAGAAAGAATTTTCATTTCATTTTTAATAATTTTAAAAATAGTACCTATCAAAAAACAAGCAACAAAGCTTTAGTACTGCCTCCGGTAAGATGACATTAAAATCATAAAATTGCGATGGTATACAGACGATTGTTACTACACCCATTAGCACTTTTAAGTACAAATTGCATAAGTGAAGCTTTTATTGTGTACATTAATTTTTTATAATGTTCCCATTATGTATATGATTTTGGTTAATAATCAAATAGATAATTAAATAAATAAGTAAACATTTACTATTTGCTTATTTAGTTATGTTATTTGTTAATTACATATCCCTTGTGCAACGTAATTACTTTTTCTTTTTATCCCTGTTTAAATAATAGGGCAAACTGAACGTCGACTGAAGCAAACTATTCAATTCCCTCTTTATAATATGTCGTCACCAATGAATTTAAATGAATCACAACGTTAGTTTGGATGCTCTGTCCTTCAGGTCATTCTTTCTGTTTTGGGAGAAAATGGAAGTCAGTCAATGGCTCTGTATGGTGATTGAAAATGTCCCATGCCCTTTTGTTTTGAATGACTTTTCAATATATTGTAGACTGATATTTATCTTTTCTCCGCTCTTCCCACTTCCCAAGAAACGACGAGCTTCAATATAACGTCCAGACTTAATTAAAATTTATTGGCGGCGCCTTTTTGTTAAGTGCGTATTATAAAGCTCGTGCACAAATGTACCAATCCTCGAGCTGATTATGTCGAATATTAATCATAAACCTACACAACTCTTCATTATAATATTATTTTAAATTCACTTGACTTTTGTTTATGGCTTTTGGAGGTTGGTAAGAACGGTCCTTGTATATTAAAGATTTTGACGTCCTGAAATCTGATTTAACTGAATTAAAATTAACCTATACTACTTCCAAGTCTTTTGAAGAAACATTTGGATAATTAACGAAAGTTTAGAAAATGTTTAGGGAAAATAAGTAGCGTAAAAGCTAAAAGCAGCTTTTCTATAAATTACCTTGGGGTTACTTCAGGAATATAACTTTGACCTACAAGATTCACTTTAAAAATCAAAACTGGAAACTAAAATTCCATGTGAGTATATTATAGGAATTAGTGATCTAACTTCATATGTATATTATTGACGTGACTTGGTTTTTCTATAGGTCAATACAGTTCCGTTGTTTAGTTACCCAATAATATTTAGAATACAGATCCTTAGCTATATGCTGTTACGAGAAGTCTGCACCCTACATTTTTATGTTGCAGTTTTTATTTTTGGGGAA